CTGAAAGTGACAAGCGAATGCTTGTGCCAGATCATCCCATGTGTACCATCTTCCGTGATCTTGACGGGTGTACCACTCCCATGCTGATCCGCTCAAACTCTGAATGAAGTAAGTCATTAGCAATTCATCCTTTCCTCCGGCTCCCCTCATCTTACTGCAAGAACCTCTCAAATGAGCCACCAGATCATCGTGTCTGTTGTACAAGTCAAATTTGGGCATTTTGAACCCTGCCGCATTTGGGAATAAACACAGGTCTTTGTAAGCCACACTTACTTGACCTCCTAGCCCTCTCATATCCCTGAAGGATTGTTTTATGCTTTTCATTTTTCTGAACATCTCTTCATGTTCGGGATTTTTGGCTAGTCTCTCAGCTTCTCTCGGGAGATCAGAGCATGGATCATAGGGGTAGGTTTCGGTAACTTTGAGGGTGGGCTCCGAGGGATAATACTTGTTGTCCTGATCTTGGAACATAGGTTCGCTTGAGGATATATGGAGTGCAGCTGGTGGAGATGCCACAAAGACAGGGGTGACTGGCGGAGGGGGGTATGGAATTGATTTTGGTGGTGGAGCTTGTGGCATATGAGAAGTAGTGCCATGGTAATGTTGGTAAATGGGAAAACCTGGATCGGTGGCAGGATGATCCTGAGACTGAGCTAATGGTGGGGTAAAAGTCGGGTTAGCCGGGTAAGACGGGGGTGATTGCCCTTTGGACCAGGCCTGGTACATTTCAGCCATCTGTTGCTTAAGTTTTAGCACCTCCTCCTTTATTTTATTGACATCCAACTCCTCCACCTCAACACTAGTGTCGGCATCCGGGATAGACATGATTTCTGGTTTTGGTCCTTTCGATCTGGTTTGGTAATGATAATGTGCCAGTGTCCTCTAGATAAACTAACTGCTTGAAATCTCTGAAAACAACAAACTTGTTAGTTGTTAGAGTTTAATACATATGCAATTACACGTTGGGATGCAATGCACCTAGGCAATTAACCATTTTCTATCATGCATTTGCTTCGGTTGCGTGCGTCATTCCGGCCTCTCATAATTGTGCTCCTTCTTTTAATCTTCTTTTATTCTATCCTTCTTTATTTATTTTTCATTTACCCCTTTTCCTTTTTAGTGGTGGTCGAATCCTATAGAGATTGCCTACGTATCATGTCCCCGCATGAATCAGACCATGCGTAGTTCTGTCAATTTTGACAACACAAAAACCAACTCTTTTTTTTTTGAAAAAATAAAAATTCTCTTTTTTTTTAAAATTCGGCAGAGTTTCGGTATATATAGGTTTTCAAAACAGGTAATTACCTCCCTTAGCCCTCACACTGCTATTTCTTTTGCAAACGCTTTTCTTTTATTCAAAAACCGGTCAACATGCAAATCCGAAGCAAACAAATGCACAAGTAGCAAGTAAGATGTATCAGGATGGTCTTTTCATTTTTGTAAATCTGTCCTAGACAGACCCAACCCCTGTGTTGAGTCTTCAAAGTCAAAATGCACGTGATGCCGACAAACGTTCCTACTAGGGATCCGTCATGAGGTCTTGTTATACTAGGTTAAAAACCTAGGTTTATTTGTTCTAGACCTGGCTTACCCGAGTGGACAACTTGAGCGGAGGGGGGGCTGCGTACTGGTAACCAAAAGATCATCTGGCTTTGCAACTTGTCCGAACCTCGTTCTATTTGGAATAGGACTCTAACAGAAAGAAGTCACGACCAGCGTGCACTCCTCGGGAGAGAGAAGAGAGGGGTTTCGTCGCAATTTATATACAGTTTAGATAATATCAAACCGGTAAAAATCAACATTTAGCACATTAGGCCCAAACATATAAATAAGACCAGATAATAAATAAAGCCAAATATAACAATTATCCTAAGCTCCAATTCTTGAACCCTAAACCAGAGATTCTGGGTTCGTTTCCCCAGCGGAGTCGCCAGAGCTGTCACACCTCCTTTTCCCTACACCCCCGGAGAGGTATAAATAAAGGAAGTTTTTCCAATTAAAGGACAATCGAAATGGAATTTATTTATTTAAAAATTCAGAGTCGCCACTTGGGAGATTTATGGTGTCCCAAGTCACCGGTTCGAATCCCGAATTGAGGAAAAGATTGACTTTGTATTACAGTCTGCGAACCAGAAATCCGATAAGAAATTCTGTTAACTCGGGAGAAGGTGTTAGGCATTCCCGAGTTCTGTGGTTCTAGCACGGTCGCTCAACTACTACAATTGACCTATTATCTGATTTTAATACATGTTTTAACTTATGTGCAATTTTAACTTTAACCGCTTTTAAATTATTTTTAGGAAAGATTCAACGTTAGTTAAAACACGCCTTGAACCACGCCACATGAAATGCACCGGCGATCCAGGACATATTTTATTTAACGTTATTGAGAATTGGAGTTGGGTCACATAAAATGCACACCCGAAATTAGTAGTTAAAAAGAAAATTAATTTAAAATCCAACGCGCCTGAAGCAAACACGAAAGTTTGTAAGTAGAATATTCAGATTTCAGATTATTGCAAGGCTTCAGAGTTATGGAAATTATTGGAGATATTTAAGCACTCATCTATTTTGTAAAATAGGCCAACTCACTTGCTTCAAACCAAGATGCTAATGACCCAGATATGAAAGAGTGAGCCAAAACGAAAGCCTAAAATTACATCGGTTGACATAAACCCATGAGTCTGCAAAGCCCAGCACGACCAATGTCACTAAACTTTCAATGGAATCAAATAACAGCTTCTTCAATCAAAACACGATGCCAATATATCAAATATAACAAGGGAAAGATGGCAAATCAACATATCACAAATATTAAATTATAAATAATGCACGAATCCTACAAATCAAGTTATCTGATCTATTTCTATGATATTTTGGAAAGTTGGCGTGAAAATGAGTTCAAAATTAAGAAAACAATTTCTTGCCAAAATTTTGGAGTCATTTCGTATTTGTCCCTATACACCAACAGTCATTCCACTTGCCAAAGTAAAATACCAAATACACATTCTTAAGAATACCAAACCACTGAATTAATAAAAAGTACTAGTAAATGCCAACATTCTGAGTTGAAACATCTATTCTAAACAAACAATTCAACCTTAAATGAGCAAACAAACCTTAGATCACCTCACAATTACCTTCAAAATGCAAACCACACTTGATCATTTTTGCAAATTCCATACGAAACTATCACGCTGACTTCCAGCAATATAGAAGAAACAAAACTGGTCGTGTAACTAGAACAAACCAGATACTACACTATCTCTAACAGTCCCAAATTAAACTTGTGCATTCGAACTTTACTGCCTAAATCAGAAATTAGGCAGAAAACATAGTGAATCCGGCTGTTAAGCCATCAAACAGATGAGGAATTCTTAAAGGTCATAGATTCACTTCCTTAGTACAATAATTAGGCTAAACATATGTAATACAAGGTTTACTACAGAATACTTAAAGAAATGGAAGAAAACAAAAGAAATTAAGTGCAATGTATCCTGTATTCAACCAATCTCTCGATTTACATGTTTCAACAATCACTTGCTACTCAGGGGGGGCTAAGGTGGTACCTGGAATTCGAAAACAACACAGAAAATGAGGAAGCAGCAGCAGAACAGTAGCAAGAACAGCGATCAGCCCAGATTTTATCCGAGAAGACAACTAATAACCCCGGATATATCAATGTAACAGTTAACGGATGGAAAATTCGAACAAATACTTTCCAAAACCAATTCAAATCGTTTTTGAAACTGTAGAAAATCAGAAAACTTATCTAGGAATAGAAAGTTTCAAGATTTAATGCAGAACAGCAATGGAACAGTAGTTTTCTCCTCACTTCTGATTCTATCCCCTTCTCTTAGGTCTGTCTGTGTGTATCTCAATGCCCATCTTTCTGTCTATGTGTGTCTGTTTTAAGACTAGAGCCAACTCCCTTTTTTATTCAAATCTTTTCCCTTTCCAGCTTGTTTTATTCTCTTACCATGTGTATCCCTTAGCCTTTTAATCACACCCCCATGTTCTTCTGTTTTCCAGCTCTTAAAAGGTCCTTAAACAAGTGTAGTTTCCACTACCAATACCCTTTTCTATTTTTTAATTCATTCCACTAACTTAATGTTTTTTTAACTAATTCAGTAGTGCATTTCCTAGACCCTACCACTATTGAGAAACCTCCTATTTAATTATTGGCAGATTTTCCTACCCAAATTACCCTCAAAACTTCTGTTATTTATTCCCCTAAGTTCTGAAGTACCTTGATTATAGTAAACAAAAGATTAAAACCTTCGACTAGATTGAAAAGCAAAATCAGTTATCAAATTAATTAACGACATGCACGAATATGAACATAAGGACAACGAACGGACATTTCACACTTTTAACCTTAATTCAAAACTCAAGAAGAGAAAAATACGAGGCAAAAATGAAATAAAAACAAGAAAAGAAAAGAGGTAGTACTGGGGACTCACCAACTCAACAGGTTCATTTGGCATTTGAATTTTTTCCGATTTCATCCCCAAATGATGTTAGCCATTTGCTCTTTGTTAGAACAAGTGATTAACACCATTTTGCAACAAAATCGGCCCTGAAATTATCAACAATCCTTGTATTTGAATCTGTTTTTTTAGAATTCGAACTCAAGATTTGAAACTCGAACTATTTTTGACAAATTCGAGGACAACCATATATGTATCAGGTATGAGGAGGTCAAGGAGGTTATGGGGTGTTAGTTTGGGGCCGATTGGGTAAACTAGGGTTTTTGGGTTCAAACTTCGATCGAAGATTCGACCAGTTCGGTTGCGATTCGAAAGAAACGGTTTGGGGATTTGAGATGATGAGCTGAAGGAGAATCTACGGTGTTAATTTGTGGTGGTTTGGGCCACTGGAACCGCCGTGAGGCGATTTCCGGTGGGCAGAAGAGGGCGGTGTGCGGTGGTGCATGTTCTTGGTCTCTGAAGAGATGAGTGGGGAGTGTTTGGTATATTAAAAGGGTAATTAGATTAGGGCCGTTGGATGATGAGAATCCAACGGCCATGATTGATCCTTTAATGAGAACGGGGTCGTTTGGTGTAGCAACTGGGGCGGACCGGGTTGGGAAAAACGGGTCGGGTCAGGTGACGGGTGATGGGGTGCATTCTAGACCGTTGGATGAACAATTTTTAACGGCTCAGATTGAAGCATGTCCAAACGACGTCACTTGGTTTAGTAAGGGGCTGGACCAGTTGGGCGTTGGTTTTGGGCTGGACTGGGGTGGGTTTTAGGTGTATTTGATTTGGGCCTGTTGAATTAAGTTGTGTTCGGCCCAATTTTGATTCCCTTCTCTTGCCTTTTCTATTTATTTCCAAATTGTTTCCGAAATTAAAACTAAAAATCCTAGATTAAATTATAAAACCTAAATTAGTTTTAAGAATATTAATTAACTCTAAATAATAATCATCATAAGTAATAAAAGACTAAATTTAAATAAAATCATACAATTTTTGACATTAAACATTAAAATGCGAAGTACGTTATTTTTTTATGATTTTTCCATTTTTGTAAAACAACAACTCACTTAACTAATCGTAAAAATTAAACCGTAAATGCAAATACAACATATTTTTGTATTTTTATTGATTTAACAAATAAACATGCACAGAAAATGCAAACAATAACAGAAAACACCATGACAATCCACAAAATTGTAAGCAACGGAAAAATTATTTTATTTGAATTTTTTGGGAGCACTTCTCATAGGGCAAAAATCACGTGCTCACACCTACAATGCACCACCATCTCCTATCAGTGCACCTCTGTTCCAGAGTTTTCAGGGTGGTTACTTATACCGACAGGGTCGGTTTCAGGGTCAACAGTCACAACAGCCGAGGTCCTATTATACTTGTGGTGATCCGAGGCACATTGCCAGATTTTTTCCCTCATGCATCGAGCAGTTCTCAGCATTTGAGTTCTCGTGCCATGGTCCCGGCACCAGGTGATTCACTGCCCGCTCAGCCAGCTAGAGGTAGGGGTCAGGCAGCCAGAGGTGGTGATAAGGCCATTAGAGGTTGATGTTGTCACACCTCCTTTTTACTACCCCTGGAAGGGGTATAAGGGAGTTTTTCCAATTAAAGTGACAATCAAAACGAGATTATTCTATCTAGAAATCAGAGTCACCACTTGAAATAATTTATGGTGTCCCAAGTCACCGGTTTTAAATCCCGAATCGAGGAAAGATTGACTCTGTTTTACATTTCGCAAACACAGAAATCCGGGTAAGGAATTCTGTTAACTCGGGAGAAGGTGTTAGGCATTCTCGGGTTCCGTGGTTGTAGCACGGTCGCTCAACTGTTATTATTAGCCTATTTATTTGATTTTAAAACATCTTTGAAACCTATGTGCATTTTTATTCCTTTTAAACCGCTTTTAATAACCCGATTATTATACAACTAATTATTGATTACACGTTTACAAATCATGCCACGGGAACCGTACCCACGATCCACAACATGTTTATTTTAAAACAAGATTAAATTGTGGATGAGTCACATAAATATACCCCCGAATTTTAGAAATTAAACGTCACGACCACGTCACGGGAAGCATACCCATACCCATGACAATTTTTTAATATACGCGCCTAAAGCAGCTACGAAAGTTCGAAGCATTTCCTAAACTAACTTTGTATTTATGTGAGGGCCATATGTTATGAATTTATTTGTGTATGGCGCACCTCAAATTATTCTAAAGAAAAAGGTTTGTATATATTTTTAAAAGACAAACTAAGATATTCCTACTTATCTAATTTAAAAAAAAAAAACAAGTACCACAACCACGTCACGGGAACCGTACCCGTAGGTTTAATGGTTTAATTACGTGCCTAAAGCAAATAACGAGATTCATTTTTTTTATCTAAGTTATAAATATGAGGGCCATGGGTTATATGATTCTCTGTATGAATGGCACGCCTCAAAACTATTCCACTAAATGAACTAGTATATTCATATTTAGAGTTGATTCAAAATTAAACATCGCAACCACGTCACAGAAACCGTACCCGTAGTCGTGATGTTCTAACTATGCCCAGGGCGAATTATTCATGTTCATCGGGTGACTATTTTCCGGCTATTGATCTCCACTAAGATCCGCAAATGCGCCTTCAATTGATTAAAATTCAGCAGCAATTCAGAGGATTCACCGTTGTTAACTTCCTTTCCATTCCAAGGAATTTACCAAGTAGAGTGCAAGCAATTACACACAATAAGGATTTCAACATTCTCTAGCTAACACTGTTGTAATCGAAAATGACATGTATGTTAGATACTATCCTTACCAAGACCAAATACCAAAAACTCAACAGTGGAGCCGTTCCATCCCCCTCCTAATGATTTAACATTTTTTTCTTTTTAACCAAGGTACACATTCTGTCAGAAGGGACATGCTTATGGAATGAAAGGTCACTATCAAGCAAGATACAATATAACAAACCACCTTCAATCTGCATTACACACATAATACATTTTTCTTTTGCTAGCTAACAAATTTAATTGCGATTCACAATGAACTTCATAATAAAGACTTTATTTGCAGTACACTTCACTTCTTAAATATTTTATTAGTAGTAAAAAGAAATCAAATCGATGAGACATGTAGGAGTTTAGATGAACATTTTCGGATCCTACAAGCTAACTTTTAACATAATACCTTACTAACCTAAATAATTTTACACTTAATTGAAGCAAGAATCATGATATTAGTTATGCGATGAGAATTAAATGGATTCGAAAGATAGAAAGATGCACAAAATACAGATCTAGAAACAAGGACTTAGCATGAGCAAAATTTATTCTAAATTCCATTCAAAGCTGAAGTTTACATACCTACTAGAAGAAGAATCAAAAATAAAAATCTGAAAATTATAAATGGAGCATAGCAGTCACTATAGCAGCAACAAAGGTCCCTCTCAATATTTCTTGATGACCAGGATCACTAGAAGAAACCAGAAAATGCTAAGAAAAAACAAAAGTACTAGGAAAAGTTTGAGATAAAATTTTTCTTTGCCAATATTTTTTGTTTTCTGCCGTATCCCCATTTTCTCTTTAGCCTAAAGTGTGTATTTATAACCCTCTTGCTAGGGCAACAAATCAGAACTTCCTAAATTTACAACCACCCTTTTCCAAAAACGTTCTGCCCAGTTTTACCTAAAAATTGTACTATTTACTCAATCAATCCCCCACCCTCACCTTCCTAGAACTTTCCTAGGTGGTTATGAGAATATTCCTTGGTCCTAAATGCCCTAAGTACCCCTAAAAACACTGCTATTTACTTGTCAAAGTTAAACCGACAGAAATGAACACTGGGCCATACGGCCCATAAACCTGCTACCTTTTTGGTTACTTTGCAATGGGCTTATTGGCTAGAAAACAATCTGGAGGGGGAAGAAAATGAATTAATACTTTGAAATACAAAATTGCAACTATGTTTTCATGACTTTTCTGAACCATAACAGAAGAGTCAGCCCACTTAGCTGACTTAATTAATTCTCCTTTCTTTTTTACTTCAAATAAAATTCCTTAATTAATATTACTATCCACAAATCTCTTTAACTTGAAAGTTCCACTTAGCAAAAGAAAGAAACAAACAGATGGCCCGACTGAGAAAGGAAGTAATGCTCTAGGGCCTTGAAAGTGGGATCCGAGGGATAGTATTGGTTATCTTGGGTATGGAATAAGGGTTCACTAGAGGATCGATGGAGTGTAGCGGGTAGGGGTGCCACGAAAACTCTGCCATATGGTGGAGGAGGGTATGAGACTAGTTTGGCTGGTGGAGCTTGTCGGGTTTGGGAAGTGGTGCCTTGGTAGTGGTGGTAAATGGGAAAGCCTAGAGATGAATCAACAGTGGGAGGTTCTTGGGATCGAGCCAGCGACGTGACAAAAGTAGGGTTGGCGGGGTAGGATGGTGGTGGATGCCCTTTTGCCCATGCCTGGTACATCTCTGCCATATGGTGTTTTAGCTTATACAACTCCTTTTTCAGATTAACATCAGACTCTTCCCACTCTCTTGACGGATCGATAACACTTGCATCCAGTTCCTGGTTAGCCATGATCAACTTGTCTTTGGACCTAGTGTTATACGGGTGAGTTGCCAAAATGCCAAACAAACTAACCACCTTCCTACTTGATGACAACAACAAACTTGTTAGCGATTAGGTCTTAACAGATAGGCAACCACACGTTAGGGATGCAATGCACCTAAGCAGTTAACCATTTCTACTATGCATTTCAATGGCTGCCTGCGTCATCCCGACTTTCACTAATTTTCATTTTGCAACTTCTCTCTTTTATTCCCGCTTTTCTTTGCCTGATTCTTGTCTTTGTTCACTCATTTTCACTCTCTTGTTTTGCCATTATTTCTTTCCACAGTTCTCTTGTTTTCTCTTTTTCATTTCACGGTTATGATCGAATCCTATAGGGATTGCCTACGTATCATGACGCCGTATGAATTAGACCAAGCATAGTTCTGGGAATAAGTGTAAAACAAATAAAAATAAAAAAAACATTTTGGGGTTTTCAAATTTTTCATAAAAACATCTTGATTACAATGACTCTTCCTACAAAATTTAATCATAAAAACTGATAAACTCGAAAGAAAAAAAAGGGGGGACTAACAGACTCCAACAGAAAGATGAAAATACAGACTTGAAAACAAACTCCAACAAAGAAAATGAAAATACAGACTCGAATGAAAATCATGAATACATCAATGCCTCAACTGCTCCAGGGGCCCGTGGGACATCAGTCGGTCTTGCCACAGGCCTATGCACAAGATCCCCTTGAAGACGATCCAGGTCACTCATTACTTGGAAACCAAAGGTCATTACCGCAACAAAGAAGGTGGTTCTAGTCATGTCTTCACATTCATGGCACTTCATGACGATGTAGTCAGCAATTGCTCTAACCCTCTCCCTGATGATACCCTTTTCTTGTAGCAACCGTCCAACCTGCTAAGACCTGGCCCCTAAAACTTATTCAGCTGTATGATTTTGTTCTTGAAGCTGTTACAGGTCTTTTTCTAACTGCGACATCAGTGCATAACAATGTTCTCTTTCTTCTTTGAAATCCCTTGCCTGCTTATTCATTTCGTTCTCAAGGACGGTGATCTATTTCTTCAACCCCACGATTTCATTGTCATATTTGTGTTTTAACTGTTTGACCAAGCGTGCTCATTCCTCTGCATTTTTAGCCAATTTTGTTCGAGCTCTTGCCAGTTCGCCTTCGGCCTTGTTCAGATCAAAACCATATTCACCCACTTTCTGCCTAAGGTTACTTATAAGCTTTTCATCTTTTGCACTTTTAGCGGGGTTTTCGGCTGCTATTTTCATTTCCTGAATTTGGGCTCGTAGGGCATCATTTTCTTTGGCTAGCTTTTTCTTTTCACCCTCATCCGCAGCGGCTTGCAAATCATTCTTAAATTGAAGATCTCTAACTTGCTTTTCCAACTTGCTTATGGTAGCCCTATACTCATTTTCTTTGGCCAACCAATTCCATTGTTCCTATGACGCCTCGACAAATTCTTGAAGATGGGGTCTTTTGGTTGGTCTTCCAAACTCAACACTTCTTTTATACCATGCGAGGTAACCAAGCGAGACTTCACTCTTGGATAGATCACGCACTTGGGTGCTTGCTGTCAAGTACTGACACTCACTCTAGATCTGGCGAACTGCCGCTTCGTGAAACTGACCATTGGAACCGATCTCGACTACCTGAGTACTAAGGTCTTCATCCTTTGGAACTATTTGACACCTCCCCATCTGTCTCAAAACCCGGTACGGGGCATAAGGATGTATGCTTTTGAGACCCATCAAGAGGAAGTGGGGACCGGTAGCAGGCATGTATTTGATTTCATCAGCAGGAAGCCAACCCAAATTCCATTCTATTTGATTGGCAATGACGGAGCGGAGGCAAGATATCCGTTCTGCGACCCTTTCTGGCATGTTGAACCCGTCGACCCTTGTATAATACTTCTCTATGCAGCTTTCTCCCGTTGACCCATGGTTCATGTACTGGGGACGATGACATAGATGCTCAGTCATGCACATTTGTAGCAACAAGTTACACCCTTCGAAAAAGTCCGCTCCGGCTTTACAGGCTGTGATAGCTCAGAATATTTCAGACACTATCATGGGTGCGAGGATGCTTTTGGCCTGGGTAAGAAAAGTGTTGACGACCCCGACTACACATACATCGATATTTCTGTCCTTCCTGGGAAACACGAAAAGACCCAAAAATACTACCATAAAGGCGAAGCATCTATGCTCTTCCCATTTTAGTCGATTCCCTTTGCTGCAAATTTTGCTCTCTGGGTTTTTGAATCCACCTATGTGTCCGTACCGCTGATATATGAACTGTGGAGTAGAAAACCCAACCACCAAATCTGCATATTCAACCCCCTGCTTATTTTTAGCAAATCAAGAAACTTGTGAGAGGTGACAGCTCTAGGGGCAACCAGATATTTATGTCTCAAAGCTTCGGTACTCCCAACATAACCGGCTATCTCTTCTAAAGTGGGTGTGAGTTCAAAGTCCGATAAATGAAACACGTTGTGTGCTGGATCCCAAAATGTAACCAATGCTTTTACTATGTCTCCTCTTGGCCTGATCTTCAATAACCCGGTGAGACCCCCCAAGTACTAGTTGACCACATCTCGTCCTGATTTTCCTAGATCTTCCCACCACATGTACAATTCCAAAGGAATCTTGGTCATGACCTTCATCGGCAAATTTTGACTCGTGCTCATTCTACACATTTAGGTTAGGGTGATTGGTTTACACACAAAGTGAATCTCATTTGAAAAACTGACAAAAGGGGTTATTTTTTGCAAAAATTAAGAAATCAGGGCTACTTTTGCGAATACGGCCCTTCAACACATTGAAATGGAAGTTTTTAGGGATGTGCTCGCTAAGTGGCCAAAATTTGACAAAACACAGTTAGCGGCTATTCTTGCAAAAACAGCCTTCTGGTGTCCGGTCGGGACGTTCGACTATTTAGACAAGGACGACATGACCCATTTTATTTGAGATAGAATGACGACGCCCATATATATTTTTTCCAAAATTTTCAAAAAGCGGGGCTGGACCCGATGAGGGTTGCCTACGTATCCCACATCCGGTGAGAATCAAACCCGCGTAGTTCAGCCAACTTTTACACAACTGAAAAATAAAACACTTTGAAATGATTTTTCTACTCTTTTTCTTTCTTTTTTTTTTCAAAAATTTTCGACAGAGTTTCGGGATGTTTTGGATATCGAATTTTGGGCAACAGATGAAATTTTCTCTCATTCTCCGCACTTGGTCTTTTTCTTTTCTCTAACAAATTTTGGTTTTCTCACTTAATCTAGAAGCCGGTCAACATGCAGTCCGAACAAATTAAATGCATAGGTAGCACATAAAAATGCTTCAGGTTGGTCTTTTATTTTCGGGTACGCCTGCCCTAGACGGACCCAACCCCTGTGTTGAGTCCCCAAAATCAAATGCATATGATGCAAACAAGCATTCCTACTAGGGATCTGCCATGAGGGTGGGTTATTCTAAATTCAAAACCTGGGTATGTCGTTCTAGACTTCTGCACCCGAGCGAACAACTCGAGCTGAGGGTGGCTACGTACCGGAAACCAAAAGGCCATCCGGATTTGTAACTTGTCCGAGCCTCTTCCTAATTTAAGGTATGACACTAACAGAAGAGGAGTCACATCAGCGTGCATATCCCCGAAGATGAGAAGAGAAGGGTTTCGTAGCAGTTTATATACAGTTCAGATAATATCGAAAGTGGTAAAAAGCAACAATTAGCACATTAGGCCCAAACATGTAAGTAAAATCAGATAATAAATAAAGCCAAATATAACAACTATCCTAAGCTCGAATTCTGAACCCTGAACTAGAGATTCTGGGTTCGATCCCCAGTAGAGTCGCCAGAGCTGTCACACCTCCTTTTTACTACCCCCGGTAGGGGTATAAGAGAGTTTTTCCAATTAAAGTGACAATCAAAATGGGATTATTCTATCTAGAAATCAGAGTCACCACTTGAAATAATTTATGGTGTCACAAGTCACCGGTTTTAAATCCCGAATCGAGGAAAGATTGACTCTGTTTTACAGTCCGCGAACACAAAAATTCGGGTAAGGAATTC